TTTTTATTTTTGACTGATTCTACTAGAAATAGATATGTCTGAGAGTGAATGCCCACATTGCAATTTAGGATTGATGGTTTCCTGTCAGATGGAGGAATGTGAACATTATGTTTTTAGCAATTTATCAAAATTCTGCTTGAAGCTCACTTTCAGAGAAATGTGAAAGTTTTACTAGCGAAAATGTATCATCAGCGAAAAATGTACTATTGGACAAATAACATTATACAGTTAGAAAAAGGAATTCTTTGACATTGATGTGTAAGCCTACATTATAACAACCTACCATCACTGTAGTTTGACATGAGCTGGTAAATGAGATTGAGGATGAGCTGGATATCCACTTTTTCATCATCAAAACAGCTTTGGTATAGTGATAGCATATCTTTTTCTGCATCGGTCAACAACTGGTTACCAGCTTCTGCCAAAGAATCTCCAGAAGGCCCCACATCATTTGACAGCCTGTACAGAAAAATGAACTTCAGGACGTCATTTCCTTGGTCTACAATGTTCTCTCTCTGTTCCCCAGGAACAAACCCACTTCATTGACATGCGAGTAAGTAAATCCCCCAATATTGCGTAACAGACTCTAGAACATGGAAAATGTATTCAGTATTCATACTTACATTAAAGCTTCCAGCATTTCTAAAATGTCATTTCTTTCAAACCGCTTGGCCCAGTCAATGGCGGTCCAGCCGTTGGGTAAGTGGAGATTAACGTTGGCGCCCAGGTTAAGTAGCTGTTCCACTTCGTCATTCATGCCCCTAGCAGTGGTCACCATTAAAGGTGTAACACCTGTTTCTGAATGCTGGTAGTCCACTGGAAATTGTAATCAAGGGATATAGCGGTTTACTACCATGCAAAGAACCAGAACAAAGAGGTTAGCAGGTGGATAACTTCAGTGTAGTGATCATGACTACATCAGAAAAGTCTTAAGAAATTAGGATGAAAACTATAGTTGTCTGGGCAACATTCTGTCTAAGGACCGATGGACAGCTGACAGACCATCTGATTACAGTCAACCATCCTTCCTTTGTTGAAGAGGGGTATGAAATACTTTTGGCTGTGGTGATGGTTGAAAAATAACCCTCCTCCCCAAGCCCTCAACCAAAAGGACTTCATGAATTAACTCACTAAATATAGACAATATTTCTTTTACAACTGAGCTTTGTGGTACATTTATGATAGATTCTTCATATTCTTACCACTGACATTCTCACTCATAATGAGATGGACCAACTGGGCAAATGTCTCTTCACTTCCCATCAAGAAAATGTCAGTAAGAAACTGATCCATTTCCTTTATTATCCAGTCAGGGAGTTCACTTTTATCTTCATTTGTGTTCTGCAAGAATAATAATCCTGTTAGTGTTCTGTCAGAATAATAATCCTGT